GCTTACTCATTTAAACCTATTAAGTATTAAGTATTAATAATAGTTTTATTCTTTAAGAAGAATAAAATAAATAATAGCCTTATCTGAACTAATTTCATTTATTTCTGATCTCTTAAAGTTTGGATCGTTGTTATAATTTGTATCATGTTGGTCTCTACTCTCTACATCAAGTTTAGGTTTTTTTATTATCCACTTATCCATTGTTAATGTATTTTAAAAAAAAATAAGTTTTAACAACGTACTTGTCGTAATTTCGTTTGTCACTAAGTTTAATGGTTCAATGGCTAACACACTGGGCGATTAATCGCACAAAATAAAAAACGTGACGGCGATAATACCGATTACCGATAATGCCGATTACACCGTTCGTCCACGTCCATATCTACAATATTTTTGTAGAAATACTTATATTCCCGTAAGTACCCACATTTTACTAAAATAGAATAGAATATTCTAAAATCAATGGCTGTATCATTTAATATTTATATCTGAATTGCAAAGAAAAATAATTGTACGCTGTTTAATTTATTATGATAGACAATTTGTTATAGGTACCTAGGTTGCTAAGTACAATACAATTGATTATAAGTACCATGCATTTTAGTTTTCTCATAAAATAAATAAATTGCACCATAATCAAATAAAATAACAGTTTTATAATATTAAAGTCCGTCGTACGCTTGTGTATTAGAACTAGATAAAATGTGTAACTATTCGGAATAGAATATTTTCTAACTCGTACACTCGTGTACCCGTTTCAATTAGTATGATACTATTAAAATCGAACAATATTTTGGTTGAACACCTGGTTAAATACATTATATTGACATACACATTAACTGTATAATAACATAAAGAATATCGGGGACGTAGACAAATTATTTATTTATCACTCGACACAGAGTGATTTCAATGCTCATAAATCATTATAAAATAGTTATAAGTACTAGCATTATAATGTTAGTATTATACTAACTGCCATGGTTTTATTTATATACGTATTGCGAGAGTTTCTTTTCGGGAAAGGTACCTAAAAATTTTAACACTGTAAAGCATTAACGCTCTTAAATCAATATTATATAAATAGTAAGGCGTTGCAATAAATTTTGTTCGATTATCCCAGTATCGTAAAAACAATATTAGATACAGGAATTTACGAGTTATATAGATTCTTTTTACAATGGATACACATTTTATCACATCCCACAAGTGTACAATGAATTTAAATGCATTAAAATTGTTGTTTTATACATTAGTAGTGCATATTATTAATCCAGATATTCCAAATAGGGGTACAGCAATTCT